TAAGGGGCATCACATGGCGTAGTAATTCCCTCACAGATGGTGTTATAAGGGGCATCACATGGCGTAGTAATTCCCTCACAGATGGTGTTATAAGGGGCATCACATGGCGTAGTAATTCCCTCACGGATGGTGTTATAAGGGGCATCACGTGGTGTAGTAATTCCCTCACAGATGGTGTTATAAGGGGCATCACGTGGTGTAGTAATTCCCTCACAGATGGTGTTATAAGGGGCATCACATGGCGTAGTAATTCCCTCACAGATGGTGTTATAAGGGGCATCACATGGCGTAGTAATTCCCTCACAGATGGTGTTATAAGGGGCATCACGTGGTGTAGTAATTCCCTCGCAGGAATGATGCTGTAGCAACTCATTCACTATGCTGTGTCGTGCATAATGAGGACACCACTTGGTCCGTTGTCACAGGAATTCACTCACTCAAGTGGGTGAGGTGTGGTCCCAAGCCTCTCTTTCGTGGAGTCTCAGGGGAATTATCACTGGGTACCTGGGACCTCACTGTGTGAAGGTTAACTTGGCTCAGACTCAACTGCCGAGTTGTTTTTCACTGAGTTAAGCACTGTTCATCACTATTCAACACTGGTTCCATTCCTTTCCTAAATGAAATAGTAACTTCTGGCGAGAACTTGTTGATATTCCGGTGGGGAGGAGGGTTCAGGGGAGGGAGTTGGTATGGGCCAAGATAACAGTTGACGAGGCTGCTACTGAGCAGCGCCAGGTGCGTCTGACCCGTCTTGACCCGTCGGTGGTGTTGTAACAAATTTATGTAACAAATTAAATGTTTGTTCCTTTTTATTTCTTTATATTCACTTATTTATTTAAATATTTACTTATTCTTACTTATTTCACTTACTCTTACTCTTTCTTTTACTTATTCCTGTTATTCTTTCTCGTTATACTCGTGAGAGGTGGAGGGCGCGAGGGAGGTAGTGAGAGGTAATTATTTACGTTTGAGGAGAGGGTGTGAGGGGAGGGGAGGAAGTTGTGGTCAGGCCTCTCACACCAAGAGGAGAGGCCAGGGAGGTGGATAGCTGGGGACTAAGATACACACTTGATCGAGGGGAAAATATGGGATAGTTATTATATATAGGACTCAGGACTCACCGTATTACTGCATAATGCCAAGACATTTATAACACATCAACCTTTCTCAATAAGGGAGGGATGAATTAGGACTCTTATTAACGGTTACTGTATTTATTGAATACTTTCTATGAGGGTTTAACAATTGTACTTCAAGACAATAAACCTGTCTTCCTAGCCAAGGGGTCCATGACTCACAATACATTTCGGGAAACGGATCAAACCTAAAAGGTACTCACATTATAGCCGCCATATGAGGAGGTGACACTCATGACACAACCACCAAACACAGACTGACTTCTTCAAACTGCGTGACACAAAGCAACAGCTTCATGACGTCACGCCTCATAGGCCTCAATGGCTGAAGACGGGCCAAAGGCCTTCATTCTATTGGCTCGAAATTGGCGGGAACTCTATGGCGGGAAACACTTATGACATTGTTACACCACTGCTGCCATTAATCACACGTATATCGATTGTCAGACACCAGATGAACAACGATGCCATAGAGAAATCCGACTGCGCGAGAGATTTAGGAGTAATGATAAGTAGGAACCTTAAACCAAGTAAACAATGTGTTTTTGCTCGTAACAAGGCTAATAAAGTACTTGGATTCATACAAAGGAGTGTTAGTTACAAGACTAGCGAGGTCATCCTAAAACTGTATCTTGCTCTTGTGAGACCACACCTGGACTACGCAGTTCAGTTCTGGTCACCGTATTACAGAATGGATATAGAATCCTTGGAAAGAATTCAGAGGAGAATGACAAGACTAATCCCGGGCATTAGGAACCTTGAGTATAGAGACAGGCTAAAGCATCTTAATTTGCACTCCCTCGAGAGACGTAGAGCGAGGGGCGACCTGATAGAGGTGTATAAGTGGAAGGCAGGGCTAAACAAAGGGGACATTACAAAGGTACTCAAACTTATCCAACCAGGAGCAAACTTGTAACAATGGTTTTAAATTAGACAAATTTAGATTTAGGCGTGAAATAGGTAAACACTGGTTTGGAAACAGAGTAGTGGATGAATGGAACAAGTTACCAAATATCATCATTAACTCGAATACGCTGAATAGCTTCAAACATAGGTTGGATGCTCATATGAGCAATAGGGGTTGGGTGTAAACGGGACTGCCCAGTATGGGCCAATAGGCCCGCTGCAGTTTCCTCCATTCTTATGTTCTTATGTTCTCTTATGTTACCATATTTCGTTTTCGCCCCACTGCTGCCGTTAATCAGACGTAAGGCTTATGGTAAAATGACGTCGAAATCTCACTAAGACTCTATGAGAATTGGTGACTTTTTTTCCTTGTTAGTTTACGAGAAAAAAATATCGTAAGTTTATTTTTTTGGAGAATTGAATGTTTGTCTCTCTCTCTCTCTCTCTCTCTCTCTCTACTTCCTGTTTCTTTATCTCCTCTTCCCCCTGCCCCTCTTCCCCTTCTTTCTCCTGCTTCCCCCCCTCTTCTTTCTCTCTCCTGCTTATTTATCTCTTCCTCCTGCTCTTCTTCACCCTCATTCTCCTCTTTCTCCTTTTTTCTACTCCTTTTTGTCTCTCTCCTGCTATTTTAGCTCATGCTTTTCCTTCCCCTCCTTCTTCTTACGCTTCTTTATCTTCTCCTTCTCCTCTTCTCCTTCTTTCTCCTACTCTTCCTCCCTTTCACTCTCCTCCGCCTACCTCCCAATGTGTTATGTCTAATTAACACTAATGACCTAACCTGTAGTCCGCCACCATTGTATATTGGCACAGGCGACTAATGACTTGTCCAATTGTATAGATACTTCAACACGCAAACACACCCTACCTACACACAAACACACCTGCCAACATACACACACCTACCTACATACACACACCTACCCACACACAAACACACCTGCCTACATGTACACACGCACTCAACTCCACGGAAACACCTACCTACACACAAACACACCTGCCTACATGTACACACGCACTCAACTCCACGGAAACACCTACCTACACACAAACACACACACACCTACCTACCCCCCCACACACACCATCTGGGAGAGTAATAAGCCTTTGTTGTTAATACTATGACATTCAACACTGCTAATTACAGTACATTCTTATATACCCCAGACGATGCATTGTTTAACTCTCTAACGATGACCTTTCTATTAGGCACCCCAGGTAACTTAACCTAGCCTGACCTCACGCTAACATCAATCAATTAGAGTACCCTAACATAACCTTACTCTATTCTAACCTAACCTAATCTAACCTAACTTAATCTATTCTAACTTAACCTAACCTAACTTAATCTAGCCCTAGCATAACCTAAACTAAACTAACGTAACCTAATCTCATCTAACCTAACTTAACCTAACCCCAGGTGAAATTAGGGTGTTTAATCATCAGGTGAAATAAACTAGAGTGTCTAATCTTCAGGTAATCCCTCCCCGGTATAGAATGTTTACACCCAATGTGACTTTATAATTAGTCAACTTTCTTCCCCTTTTTCTCATTTCTTGGAAGGTTATAACTATCTCCTAACTTGCTCCCGTAGTCCATACACTAAGCGACAAGTTACGTCAATGCTTCTCCTTTGCAACATCAGCTTCACTATATCCAGTCTTCCTTAACACACCTGAATTAAACTATTACTTCGATCAACTCCTGCCCATTCAAGTTAACACTACACCGAGATTGCTAAAGTCTTTTAAAACACTATAAATTTTTGCCCGTATTCACATTTACTTTACCATCGTCCTCCTATATACACCACCAAAACAATTTATCATTCTACTAAACTCTTTATCTGGCTTAAATCAGTATGAGAGTAGTGTTTTGAAAGCATTCTTCCTCTCCATTACCAAGACCCAGCGAGGTGAATCCATGATTACGTGATACAAAAGATTTTGCACCAGACTTTCCAAAAGCCTCCCCCCTTCTGGTCTTCTCTTCCATTAATCCTCTTTTATATTTCCTGTTTTTTATGCAGCACAGATACAACTATAAAACTTAACTTTATACTCTCACGTTATGTTGTCATCTCCGCGGACGCTCTGGTGCATAACGCGGGTATAACAGAATTATCACCAAGTCATAAAATAATCACCGAGCTGAAAGTTCCTGGGGCCGCCACCAGGGGAGAGGGTCTGAGTATAAAAACCCGTGGGATATTTTTTTTAATCAGCAGTCGTCTTCCTTCCATCTTATCTATGGCGAGGTTCTGGCTACTGTTGGCCTGTTGCCTCTGTGCTGGTGAGGGTTTTGTTTACTTCTCGAGACTGCTATGTGAATATTAATAACAGTAGTACATGCATTAGAATTAAAATCCATCAATATTCATTAATTAAAGCAAATTAATAGTTTTGATCCTTCGGGTACTAAAACTGTTAATAATTTACACAGTATAAAAAAATTGCAGATAAAAAGGCAATTGCAATAGGATCTATAGATATTCTCGAACTGAACCGAGAGTTGGGAGGGAGAGCAATAGGCAAAGTTTCAAGAAAATCAGTTAACTCATGCACGGGACAACGAACACCACAGCCTAAGCGATTCCCTAATAAACATCAAAGTATTTTAAGAGGATAATAATGACTCATAACTACATTTTTTGTTATATTTGACAAATGGAAAATCAGTGATGCCAATTTTTTAACATACACACATACCAAGTCGATTAAAGTGATCATCATTACTGAAACTCACTCAGAGGCAGAAAAATATGTACTGTATTTTTGTGTGACTGTAATATATAGCTACAGAAAAGAGGCCAAGCTATTACACACGGATGATTTACATAACCCATAGAGAGGGAGAGAGAGAGAGAGCGGTAGCACCCTCCAAGGCGATGAACAACACCTTTAGCTTCACACGTGACCTAAAGTTAGACAATAACAAATATTCTTTTGTTCTTTTCAGGTCTGGCCACGGCCTCCAACACCACAGAACACGCCTTAAGAGTGAGTACAGTGAGTCCAAACACACTAGAGTACAGACACGCTTACAGTTTGTGTAAATCTGCCTAAAATGAGTGCACATACACCTGCAGTTAATATAGAACACTAAGAGTGTAGAGAGTACCTCAAACACACTGAGAGTGAAAATTAAAAGAGTAAAGATTATATGCTCTATAATTATTATTATAATTATTATTATTATCATTATTATAGTTGTATTTATAGTAGTAGTATTACAATATTAAATCTTTGCTCCACATAATAACACACACACACACACACACACACACACACACACACACACACACACACACACACAAGGAGTCTACGAGTTAATCTTGTGGCAACTCTGTGTTACAGGAGAAGAGAGGCAGCAACGGCGGCTTTGGCGGTGGTGGCACAGCTGGCGGGTATAGTGACGGTGGCACCAGTGGTGGCACTACTGTAGTGTATGGTGCCAGAAACGGTGGTGGCACAGCTGGCGGGTATAGTGACGGTGGCACCAGTGGTGGCACTACTGTAGTGTATGGTGCCAGAAACGGTGGTGGCACAGCTGGCGGGTATAGTGACGGTGGCAGCAGTGGTGGCACTACTGTAGTGTATGGTGCCAGAAACGGTGGTGGCACAGCTGGCGGGTATAGTGACGGTGGCATAGTGACGGTGGCAGCAGTGGTGGCACTACTGTAGTGTATGGTGCCAGAAACGGTGGTGGCACAGCTGGCGGGTATAGTGACGGTGGCAGCAGTGGTGGCACTACGGTGGGTGTATGGTGGCAGAACGGTGGCAGCGGTGGTGGCACTGCTGGCTGGTAACTATGTGGTGGCACTGCTGGCAGTGGTGAGTAGTGTGGTGCCAGAAACGGTGGTGCTGGCGGGTATAGTGATGGCGGCAGCAGTGGTGACACTACTGTGGTGTATGGTGGCAGAAGCGGTGGTGGCACTGCTGGCGGGTATAGTGACGGTGGCAGCAGTGGTGACACTACTGTGGTGTATGGCGGCAGAAGCGGTGGTGGCACTGCTGGCGGGTATAGTGACGGTGGCAGCAGTGGTGACACTACTGTAGTGTATGGCGGCAGAAGCGGTGGTGGCACTGCTGGCGGGTATAGTGATAGTGGCAGCAGCAGTGGTGACACTACTGTAGTGTATGGTGGCAGCGTTGGTGGCACTGCTGGCGGGTATAGTGATGGTGGCAGCAGCAGCGGTGACACTACTGTAGTGTATGGTGGCAGCGTTGGTGGCACTGCTGGCGGGTATAGTGACGGTGGGGATGGCACAACTACCGTAATTTATGGGGGCAGTAGTGGTGGTGGCAATACTGGAGGGTATGGCGACGGCGGTGGTGGCAATACTGGAGGGTATAGCGGCGGCAGCAATGATGGAGGCACTGTTGGAGGGTATGGTGGTGGTGACATAGGTGGAGGGCATGATGGCAATGGCAACAGTGGCACAGTTGGAGGGTATGGCAGCGGTGGCAGCACAATTGTATTGTACGGTGGCAGCGACAGCGATGGTGGCACCTCTGGAGGGTATGGCAGCAACAGTGCCACAACTGGTGGGCACGGCGGCGGTTCAAATGGCGGCTATGGCGGCGGCAACGTAAGTGGAGGGTACGGTGGCAGCTTCAGTGCCATAGGAACAAGTGGTGGCGGTGGCAGCAGTCATCAGCAACCAAACACCTTGAACACCGCCAGTCAGGCTGCGGTTCAGGCTACCGCAGCCGCTGCAGGCCTGAAACATGCCGCCCGAGCTGCGGCTTCCGATGCCGCCAGTCAGGCAGCTGCAAAAGCTTCAGCTGCCTCACAAACTGCGCAGGCCGCCCTCGCCCAGATTCAGGTTGAAGCTGCGCAGTTGACCCAAACAGCCCAGAGGGCGCAGTCGGTTGCCTTGGCCGAGGCGTCTCTAGCGGGTCAAGCCAGCGCTGCCGTCGTTGCTGCACACAACACCTACAACCTCGCTCTGGCTCTCGTGCACAACCTATCAGCAGCACAGAGCGAAACCAGTACGGTGATTGCACAAGCTCAGCAGGCGCTACAGGCGACGCAGGCGGTGTATTCCTCGCAGGAGTTCATGAAGAGTCAGGCGGAGGAAATCTTCAACGCCGTCAGTAAGAAGCAGCACCTTTTCCTCCGCCAGCTGAACTCTGCTCTAGCGGCTCTTGGCCAGGCCGAGGCCGCCGCCAACCTAGCCCTGACCAAGGCCCAGAGCCACAGTGGTAGTTATGGTGGCCAAGGAAGCCATGGAGGAGGCAAAGGAAGCTATGGTGGCGAGGGTGAGTCACAGTAAGCAGGTCAATTATGGTGGTAGCGATAATGGTAGTCAGGGAGTCTATGGTCGTCAGGGTATACCCAAGGAGGCTATACTGGCCAAGGTACCCAAAGAGGCTTTATTGATCAAGGTACTCGCGAGGCTACGGCCATGGAACCTCGGGAAACAAGGGTCAAAGTGGCCAGAAGGGGTAAAGTGACACCGTTTAAGATGGCATCAATTAACAGAGACAGTCAGAATGGCGACAGAAGCGGAGTCAACATTTAACAAAGTTAATCATCATCTTCTATACAATCTATCACTAACATGTCAAAAACCCAGGCGTGTCAGCCACTCTTCTGTAATAAGTAATGTCTTTGGGATATAAAAGTCGACTCAGTAACTGGTTGACGAAGTTGCATCGTCGGCCAAGAATAAAAAATATTAACTTCACATCTGATTCATTTATTCCTCAACCACTTGAAATATATTTTTAGTTTAAGAGAAGCAGATTTTATATCCAAATTATGCATCTTTAGCTTTATGTGTGACTTTTATTCCTTTCCTTTCAATTAAAGTATATACTGTATTTAGTTTAAGTAAGGTTGTTGGAAGGCGAATTTTAATTTCTCGTGTGCAAGTCTTAAAAAATATATACTGAAACACTATAGACACATTGTAATTAAATAACTCTCTTAAATCACGTAGAATATGAAATCTTGAATAGGTGATGAACTTGAACGACCTTGAAGAAAAACAAAACTGTCGCCAACAGTTTTTACTGGCCATTAACGAACTCTTAACGGATTTTAGTTTTCCATTATTTTTTAGTTTCGAGAAAAGTGAAAAAAAATTATCATCTACTGTATAAGGATTATGTCACGTGAACGATATTTGGATAAAGACGTACAGGATGAGTTAAATGTTGAGAGAGAGAGAGAGAGAGAGAGAGAGAGAGAGAGAGAGAGAAAATTATAACAACTGCGAGTAGTTGTAGTAGTTGTTGTTGTTTGTCTAATACTTAATTTTGTTTTTGCCATTGTTCTCTGAAGACTCGTGAGTTGTGGTGGTAGTTGTTGTGGTTGTTGGTTTTGTAGTTGTTGTGGTTGTTGGTTTTGTAGTTGTTGTGGTTGTTGGTTTTGTAGTTGTTATGGTTGTTGGTTTTGTAGTTGTTGTGGTTGTTGGTTTTGTAGTTGTTGTGGTTGTTGGTTTTGTAGTTGTTGTGGTCGTTGGTTTTGTAGTTGTTGTTGGTTTTAGTGCTGTAGTTGTTGGTGTAGTTGTGGCTGTTGGTATAGTTGTGGTAGTGGTTGTAGTTGTGGTAATTGTAGGGGTTGTGATTGTTGGTGTTGTAGTTGTGGTAGTTGTAGGGGTTGTGATTGTTGGTGGTGTTGTAGTTGTGGTAGTTGTAGGGGTTGTGATTGTTGGTGGTGTTGTAGTTGTGGTAGTTGTAGGGGTTGTGATTGTTGGTGGTGTTGTAGTTGTGGCTTTAAGGGTTGTAGCTATTGGGATTATATTTGTGGTTGTTTTATAGGTGGTGGTTGTAGGAATTGCAATTGTGGTTACTTCAGAGGTTGTTTTTGCGTTGGTTGTAGTGCGTGTAGTGACTGTTGGAGAGGCGGTGGTTGTTGGAGAGTCTGTCGTTGTTGGAGAGTCTGTCGTTGTTGGAGAGTCTGTGGTTGTTGGAGAGTCAGTGGCTGTAGGAGAGTCTGTGGTTGTTGGAGATTCTTGAAGTGCTGTCGATGTTGTGTGGGTAGAGTCATTGGTGGTGGATGAAGAAGAGTCAGCGGTCACGGCCTTCGTATCTACTGCAGGTGTGGGTGACGAAATAGACGAACTGGTGGCAGGTGTAGATGAGCTGGTGGCAGGTGTAGATGAACTAGTGACAGGTGTAGATGAGCTGGTGGCAGGTGTAGATGAGCTGGTGGCAGGTATAGAGGAGCTGGTGGCAGGTGTAGATGAACTAGTGACAGGTGTAGATGAGCTGGTGGCAGGTGTAGATGAACTAGTGACAGGTGTAGATGAGCTGGTGGCAGGTGTAGATGAACTGGTGACAGATGTTGGCTGGCTTGGTGGAGTAAATAAAGCCTTTGTAGTAGCAGATGTTGAGTTACTTAGTGGCTCTTCTGTTAAATGGTGGGAAAATTACACCTTGTTACTAAAATCAGAATTTACCATCATTACCAAATTGCATGCGTTTTAGTATCCAAGTCTAAAACTAACTTTGAATCTATAATGATTTTTTTTTATTCAATGAACATTTCTTTCATATCTAGGTATAAAGGCAGCATCGTCTTAATTATAGAATCACCTTAAATTAATTAATTTTATCATTCCCACAATTTATTTCAGTTCACGAGTCACGCGGGCGGTTAGTCTTGGTTACAATACCCCCTTCCTCTTTCTTATATCAGCCCCCCATTCTCGCTTCGCAAGTGAGAGGACCCGAGTTCGATCCCGGGGCAGAGTGAAACTATGGGCAAGTTTCTTTAGGCCATTTGCCTGTCTACCCAGCAGTAATTGGGAACCTGGATGTTAATCGATTTGCGGATCGTATTCCGGGGTAATGGTTAGCCAGTGGAGTTTTCCGGTATTATCGGACTATTCCTTGACACTGGGTTAACTTAGGGTGTGGCTGTTGTGTTGGCGACAGCTTCTACACCTTAAATAAATTCACTCCTAGGTGGCCCTTGGGCCGGCCATCCTCGTTCCACGAGGGACAACCATTATATCTGCTCCAGCCCGGGATTTAACCTGGGACACATTCGTTAAAGGCAGTCACGCTAACTTGTTACCCTTCGCCTGTACTTTACACCAAAACCTGTAATTGTATGGATATTTTGGCATAAAGTTATTGAGTATGAAGTAAGTTACTGGTACTTACTGGTGAACGTGATGGTGGTAGCGTTGGTCGCTAGGTCATCCCAGTTAACAGTCGCGTTGGTGAAGTAACAGATGATGCCCTGATCTGCAACGGACAGTAACGGTAAATAACGGTAAACTCAGGGATATTACACTGTTTTTAACGGGGAAATGAAAGCTAAAGGTGTAGTTACAGTCTTTAATCCGCATACAACACTTACATTATTCTCTTACTTTTATTGTACTACCAAAACCATTATATCATATATTGTCACGTAGATATATAGAAACTACCATTGCAATAATTATATATTTGCCGTCAAAACATGCTCCTGACTGTGTCTGTCTCCTTGTTTCATTTTAATAGAACCCATATTGTTTTGCTTCCCTCCATTATCAGATAAATGTTTATCAACTTCACAATAAATTATGTATACAGTATACTTATAATATAAATGAAAAAATAAATAAAAATCGTGTTAACATACTCGTATGTTCTTACTAACACCATGTTACGTGTACTAACCCAGATGATACTAAATGTTATATAATATGTCCTTAAGATAAATGTACAATATATATCAAGTGCCACTAAGAGAGTTCGGGCTCTCAATTGGCTCAGTCATGTTAATAGTGTTATTACTGTCCACTCTGTGTCTGCATATTTCTCTCAGAATAAACTGTTTCAATATCAATTCAATAGCAAGGTGTCAACAGGCGAGATATAGTGATAATATATACACAGGTAAAGGAAGAAAAGCAGAAAAACGCAAGAAAAGGAAAAAGCCGAAGCTAAGAGAAACAGAAGGAGAAAGCAAGAGAAAAGGCATAAGACAAAATAAACACGGAGACGGAGAAAGCTAGAGAAAGAAAGCAAGGAAAAGAAAAACAAGAGGAGACAGAGATACAAAACAGGAGAAAGAGTGAGAGAGGGATACAGAGCAAGAGAGAGAGAAAGAGACCAAGAGAGACAAAGAAACCAAGATAAAAAAGAGAAAAAGCAAGAGCGTGTGTGTGTGTGAAGGGAGGGGGAACTCACCTGTAGTGTTCAAGGCAGTAAGGGCGGAGCAGGAAGGTACCGCAAAACACATCATGCTACATCGACCTGTAAACAAGAAAAGCAACAACATTAAGACACGTTATTTTATTGTTAAATTCATGGATAAGTTAATCATACTAACCTAATCTACTTAATTTAACCTAACCTGCTTTAGCTTGGGTTACGTCTGGTTAGGTTACGGCAAAATAACGCGTGAATACTGACAGCTGAGGATGATAGACCGTGTTTACAGCTGGTTCATGACAAAGGGTCACATGAAGATAAGACACCCTAGTTTATTTCACCTAGCTTATATTACAGACGAGCAAGGGGTGACCTAATAGAGGTGTATAAGCATCTCAAGGGGCACTACTCAGTCGAGTGTCCTTACTAGGAGCTGGCGGACGCTCGCCCCACAAGGGGTCACAGCTCAAGATTGAAGAAGCCGCAAGTCCAGAAAACTGTGAGGGCAAACTTTTTCGGAGTGAGAGTTGTGAACTGTTGGAACAATCTACCAGAAAGTGTTGTGACGGCACCGAGTGTGAGCTCTTTCAAGACAAGACTTAACCAACACTGGAGCGGGTTAAGGTACATTCAGGAGCCGGTGCATGCCCAGTACTTGCCAACAGTACGTAACAGAGACGTGACCGATCGCCCAAGCGGCTAACGAGCCGATCAGCGGTGAAGAGGATAAAAGTAAAAGTAATGATTACTACACCCCAAAGATAACCAAACCTAACCCAACCCAATGCTAACCTAACCTAACCCAACCCAATGCTAACCTAACCTAACCCAACCCAATGCTAACCTAACCTAACCCAACCCAATGCTAACCTAACCTAACCCAACCCAATGCTAACCTAACCTAACCCAACCCAATGCTAACCTAACCTAACCCAACTTACTCTAACGTCACACAACCTTACAGAATCTAACATAACATAACCTTCCATAATCTAACCTAATATAAACTAATATATCCTAACCTAACTTAATCTAACCTAACATAATATTACCTATCCGAATTTAATCGAACCTATCTGAACTTTAATCTAACCTACTTGAACATACTCTTAACATAACTTCCTCCAGATAGCATTAAGGTCTTTTATCATCAGATTGTTATGGTCCTGCTCGACGGTTCCCTCGTTAAGGTGATCCACAATATCTGATAATTATCCTTTATTAATGATCTTATCCCCCCCCCCATGTAAATAACCTGTATATCTTTTAATCAGTTTATCCTACCGTCCATATGTCCATCCATCTATTAATTTTTCTACTCTCTAAACCATCTTTCTATTTTTTTTATCCATTCATCCGTCCACTGCTTCACCTTGCACTTAAGCCGCAGCATAATGAGGTAGGCCAAAAAAAAAATAGTGCTGAAATAACACCAAGTAACACCACGACATTTCCTGAAATAGTCACAACCTTCCATTTTCATTTCAGGGTAAAAATAATAAATAAATAAACAACTATGAACCAAAACTTATTTCAAAACAGTAATGAGAAAATTTTGAACACTGACTATTTTGTTCTTATCGGATGTATCAGGGTTCATCATTGGACATGAACAAAACGCTTCAACTAACCACTCGGAGCGGTTTGTTTACAGAATCGATTACTCGTATTTGCTCTATAAGACGTGAGTGAAATTGAAGCATTAGGTAGATTAATTGGCTAGTTAACTGGCTTTATTCAAGGGATCAAAGCTGCTAAAGGAGTTGTTTCACCTGAGAAGATAAACAGGGTGAATAATATCGTTCAGTTCAAGGTGACAGAACTTAATTAAGGGTTTGTTTTGATCTAGTTATCATAGTGACAATGGGTGTCTATAAATAACCGTTTTTAGACTGTAAACAAGCTTATTTTACATTATAATTAACCACCCTAACATAACCTTGTGTATCTTAACCGAACCTAACCTAACGCTAACCTAACCGAATCTAACCTAACCGAATCTAACCTAACGCTAATATAACATAACCGAATCTAACTTAACCGAATCTAACCTAACCTAACCTAATATAACCAAACCTAACCCAATATAACCTAACCTAACCTAACCTAATATAAACCTCATCCAAATCTAGTATAACCTAACAAACGAACCTAACTACCTCCTGTAATATAACCTAGCATAAACTAGCCTAAAAGTCTAGCCTAAGCTAACCTAATGAAACCGAGTTTAATCTAATCTAACCTAACAAAACCTAACAAAACCTAACTTAAACTAATCGCACTCAACCTCCCTGGTAGCGTTAGTGTGTTTCATCAGCTGAAATTGGTTAGGGTCTCTACTCTTCATGTGATCCATAACCAGATCTCCCTAAAAAAAAAAAATAGCTGAAATACATATATATGATTACACATTATATTTTTTCATAGTTTGTATATAACGCTGCTTCTAGTCATAGTTTTGTTTCAAAGAATTTGCTTCCAATGTTCTGGATAGAAAACGAATCTGCATTTACTTTAGACACTGAAAAAATTTCTCTCTTTATCTATGTAAATATTACCTTCTTTTTTAATCGATCTATTTCAACAAGACAAATTAGGCATCCAATACTCATATTACTCACAGGATCAAATTATTGTTTACATAACACACAATTCTCATATTGCTTTCCGTTGTTTACTCAGTAGCTATTGTAAGCTATTCTGTGTTTACTCTCTCTTATACGGACAATATATACCACTGTCAGACAACACTAACAATAGTCTGGCTTAAGTGAGAGAATTATGAGTGCTGACGATGCATATTTGTGTGGCAGCTTATTACTGGTCAATTTTGTACAGAAAATTTGTAGGTAAATTTATAGTAGTTCACACAACTCCGTTAGAAAGTCAAAACTATGTTTTTCTATTGTGTGTTTTGATTGGTTTTGACCTTGATCTCCGTCGGAAATTGATTTTTTTTTTTTTTTTAAGTTATCGCCCCTTTCTACCCCGAACAAGATAGGGGGTCCTGTTGTGAACCGGGGTTTTAGGTGGGGGAGAGAAACAAGCGTTTTCCGACAAAAATCATGGCCAAGTGAATACAAAATACACCAAAAAACAGTAGAAAAGCATATAAACCTAACCTGACCTAACTCTCACGGTGTTTTCACGTAACCAGCCTCTCACCCTTGAGGGAATCACTGTTATTTCTTATCTTATTCCGAATTAGAATCCGAAATTCGAGTAGGCTTGGGAGGTGGACCTTCTACGTGAAGGGCCTGGTTTTGGCCGCGTGACGTGTATGGGAACGCATGCGCATGACGATTTATGAAGGGAAGGTTAATGGAATTAAATAGAGCTGGCAAGCGCAATCTCCGTTATTATACGTTTCCGACGACAATGTAATAAAAGAAAATTATCTTAAAATTAGACGTCTTTTTTTCGAATATGATACCCTGTAATAGATTTGGGGTAGGAATGTTGTGAACTACTATTAAAACGTCAATTTGTACAGTACAGTATCTAGTTTTGGGAACTATGGCTTGGATACTTTATTTGCTGGAGAAATAATGATATATTTCAAGTAACTGACGTGTTTTGAGATGTGGCAAATTGTTTGTTTACATTGTAGTAAAACTAGCAGAACGGGCAGAACTACCCTTGCTAAAGTAATTAGACCAAAGATGCCAAACAAGCAGTATTCCCTCTATTTGTGAATGCGCACATTTCCTGGCTAGTGCCTGTTGTCTGGTGGGCGGTGGTGCCAAATCTCACAAAACACGACCACAATTACGAAAATTTTATAAAAAAATTATCCTCTAAAAAAATTATATAGCAGCTGGTTAACCCGATACCATGTTCCAGAGTATATTAACGGACCGCGCACCACCAACTTGTTTCATTTTACTGTAAAATGAAACGTAACCCTGTACTGTACAGCGACGAAGCCGAGTCGAAGGAACATTAAATGGACGGCCTTTAACTCAAGTCAAAACATCACAAATGTCATCAGAATTTCTTTTATAAAGCAGATTTAGACACACTATACATTCCCTGAGCATGTCATGATATACTGTATTATTGTCTATATCTTACCTCTACTTGTGGTGAAAATGCTAATGAAATTGTTTGTCTTCAAAACCAAGATAAACAAACAGCATACTGTAGATGACGGACCTTCACGGTGAGAGCAGCAATTGACTGAGTGACAAAGTTGACGTGTTCGTTATAGCCTCACTTCGGCAGGTGGCAGCACTTAACCAGTGGTGCTGTTTTTCTTTTGGAAAAATGCTAGACTGACGAAAAAACAAGTTCTCATACTGCTTAAATAGTGTGAAACTTTTGGTTACTTCAAAAATTGGATATTTATCCTAGATTCACAATAATAATTAGTATTATAATGTTTTATTAGCTCAATTTGGGTATTTAAAACTTACTAAGTTTGTGCTTATGACAACAGTTTTTTAATATTTGCCATACTACGGTTTTTCCCAATTGTTTATGGTCAGAGTATTTTGTGAGTCATTTTTTCCAGTTCGTTACTATTCACGGGCGCTTCCAGTTTACTTATCTGTGTAAATGGGTACTTGAGTTTACAACTTGAGAAAGTGAAAGCGGTCGAGTGCAGTACCAGTCATGCTACCCCCCTGTGCACCGAAGGCTTAGAATACGGTGTGCTGTATCCACACTGTCCCTGAAGGAATGTTTACTTTGACCATTAAGCTGGCGGATTAGTAGTTTTACAACGTATATCCAGGGGTTCGACAGTCTTCTCCCTAAGGTTAACATGATTGCCAATTAGAATGTATTAAAGACAAGGTGAGGTGATGATGTAAATGTGAGTAAAGCGTCTTGTTTATATAAAGGAGATGCGGCAGTGGTCTGAATTTCCCGAGAACATGATGTTGAAGAAACATAAGGTATTATAACATAAGGTATTATGTACACACTTGCAAAATGAGCACATACACGCGCACACACACACACACACACACGTTAGACTACGCCCATATAAGGACACACTGCACTCACAGAAGGATTCCACGCCCTGTAGATGGTGTGTTATGATGGAGGCGTCGAGGGACTGTCCAGGGTGAAATTCCAACAGGGAAGCAGCGGACCCCTGGCAGGTCGACGACACCAGCAAGAACAGCAGCGGAAGATGGTGCAGCAGAGGACTTGGAGGCAAAGCACGTGACAAATGTAGAGGTTTGGGGAAACAGAGTGAGAAGAGAGGAAGAGGAGGCGTAAGACGTGGTGGGAGAGGGCGTGGAGGCAGAGGGCGTGTAGTTAGAAGACGTGGAAGTAGTGGGCTTGGATCCCTGACCCCCTGCACATCCTCCTTATGGCAGGTCATGACGTCCGGTGTTATGTTTTGGTTTGACGTCTGTGTTGGGAGACAACCGCTCCACCTCAGATTAAGAACAATATTGCTGAAAAAGTTTCCTTAAAAGGTTATCATAAATAACATTAAACAAAATTATAAATATGTTATCGAAAAGTAATTAGAAGCACGAAAAAAGAACAAATAAAAACATCAACAGGAAATAAGAAAAAAAATCGGACATTATAAAAAAAAATAGTCTTAGTCAAATTTTGTATAACTCACTGCGTCACAAATATGGGTTCAGCGAGCTCCTCTCCTTGCAACACACTATTGTACACTCAATATCCCCAAGTTGCAAGTGAGACAGGAGGCATAAGCGGCTGGTTTGGCCGCCTGCGCAATATCGATAGCGTGACACAAACTGCGCAGGAAAGAGTATTTTTGTTGTTAATAACAACTAATGACGTAGGTAAATAGCGATAATGTAGATGAACAACTGATGAATGATGACGTAGATATACAGGTGACGTTGGAGAGTAAAGGTTATTACGTGAGGACACATTAATTTAACTAAACCTTGTCCCAGAGAAAAACACAGTGAATTCGCTGAATAGGGCTTCACGCATTTATTAATTGACATTCAGTAAAACACTATTATGTCGTATAATGCTTACACTTCAAGATTTGCAATTAAATTACTCCTCATCGCGAAACAAGAACTATATAGTATGGTTGTTTTGTATTATAGATAAAAGTATTTTTAAAATTAGATAGACATCATACAGTAGGATCAGTGTTTTAATGTTTCTGTTGAGGGGGACTTGGAAAAATAAAGGGCAGTATCCTCACTCACCGGAAAATGTGGAAAATGTTAATGAGTCATTAAGATCGTTCATAAATGACCATTTCATTCATTATTTCCAGAATTATTTTGATATTATTAATTGAAATCAAGGTAATCTACAAAACCTAAATTTTCTTTGAGATTTATAAATAAAAGAAGAATTAGTAATATTCAGTGAAGAACACCAAAGACTTATAAATTGTAAACATTTAGTGCGCATGTTTGCCCGCGCGAACACTCCAACGACCCCAACTAGGTCACATGATCTTATATCTCGTCCGAATACGTTTACTTTGACTTAATTGATAAGGTATGAAGCTGTGACTTAAAATAGTAGGGTATTTTCTAAAATACTGCACAAAAGGAATAAGTTTAATATAATTTAGTTGAATATCACAATAAAACAATCAGTCATTCTTAAATTAATGTGGCATTTAAAGTGAGAGGCAACAATTCATTCGAACACTATCAACATTCGATGGTGTAAACAATGGCAGCTGCGAGCAGTGGTAAGTTAGGCGTCTAAGTGTAAAGGCACAGTAAATATACATTATTTCTATAGATTTTCATGACATATTAAATCAGTTGAAGCTTATTAATATAGAAGAAACGACCTCATGACATTCAGGATCCATATCAACTGTTGAACGATTGTTTAGTTGCAATCATTTATCAGTCTACCTCTGAGATAAGCGGCGACAACTTGCACTGTAATCACGGTCATTATATGCAGTGTTTTCCGTAAAATTGAAAATGTGTCTTTGGTTTCATAAAGGAATTTTCGTACGAACTTTTGCCTGAATTTGCTGATTACTATTAAGAAAATACATGTACTGTATGCACAATTAACTATGTAAAAACCATATGCCTGTGTAGAAGAATGAGTTGAACCCATTAGTGTATAGGACCATATAGCAGAGGGAACATGTGGGGTTAAATTACTTTTAGTACATGTAGAAATAATACTAGTGAAATTCCCATGGAAAAATATCCATATGTCAGTGAAGAACAGATGGCCTAGTTTTGGGTGTTCACAGCTAACAGTTTCATAAACCAGGATTTTTAAAACATATTACTAAAAGTAGACCTTCCAGGTCTTATATAATTAGAGTACCGTCCCCATATCTGAGGGTTGATTACCACAGTCTTCCACTCTTAGAAATAATTTAAAACCAAACATACATTGGCAATGTGGTAATGCGAATCTTATCCAATGAAAATTGGTTTCTCTGGTTAGCTTAGACATGTAAAGTACCTGTATACTGGTATTTGAGTTGTTAGGTTTGGTTTCATCGGTTTTTACCCCACAATTTCCCTCTACTTCAAAGCCCTGCCCACTTTGTGAGATCAAAATTGCATTTCTTTAATGGAAATCGAAAAGTAAATAAAAGTCGAAAAATATAATTTTCTGGCAGAAACATTATAGAGTAGAGTAGGTTTCTTTCTCTGTCTCTGTATACGGTATGCAAATCAATAGAGTTCCGTGCATGGTTACTATGGAATATTTACCTAATATTTTCTTGATTTTCAGATGTGAATGAAGTGTTTTCCAGACTGTTTGATCATCGGCCATTTTTGCGAGGAGAAATTGAGTTTTTTAAAAAAGAATTTGAGGTGAGACATTGTTAGTATAATTTGTACAAGCTTATCAAATCAATACTGGTAATAAGATCTATAACAGAAGTATACTGGACTGTATATCATGTGGTGCTTAGATGATGGAAGATTTTATGAATATATACCTGTATCTTCATTATTACATATGGCAATACATATCATCTTTTAGGAAAAACACATATGTAGTCAAAAAATCTGGTAAACATATCATTATAAAATTTGCTTTTGCTCTTCTCATAAAAGAGTATCCAATCAGAAAATTAGCAACTTTAAACCAGTCAGGACAAAATCCTAAGCATTCCAGATTGTTCAGGTTACAGCTATACAACACTATTGAGGAGAGGTGAAACTGGTGAGATTTAAGTCAGCAGGAAAGTATGTGTAACCAGGGAAGAATGTGAAGTTGGAAGTGAAATGTTAAGATGATTTCTGTGTGTGGTGTGCAACTTGTGACTGCTATTGGATGATTTGTGAAGCAAGGCAAAAATTAAGATTAAAGTAGTGGATTTTAATTTGTTTTAGATTTGTTTTATCTTTGTCTTTTCCTTAGATGCATTAGAGAACAGGGCATTAGCTGGTTACTTGTGCATGTGGGATTAGTATCATAGCTGAGTGGGGGAGGGGGCTTTGATCCTTCCCCATTTAGGTTGAAATTGCAAGGGTTTACTGTATTATTATTTTGTTAAGAAACTTGTAATCACCTTATTATTTAAAAAAAGTGCAATAAACTTAAAATGAATTACAATACAATTATTTCTACAGGAGAAACGTGGAGACAGAGAAGTGGAACAACTCTTCCGCTCACTGGAACTCATAACAGAAATTAAAGAGGGTCAGGTAAGTTGTTTATTAATTATTTTTCTTATCGGATTCCTGTAATTTTACGTGATTTGATGCCAGAATTAAGACTTCATATATACTTATCATATCTCAAATTCTTGACAAAGGTCATTATGCACTATGATGAGGCAGTTGATTAGTTTTATTGGTGGACAAGATAAAACAAACTGACCACGTTAACTGGTCACATGTTGAATACAAAAGTTACCGGTATGTACGGTAATGTGTGGTTACCTAGATTAGACCTTTCCTTAATTCCTCAGAATATAAAAGTGGCTAATTTTGAGGTGACTTTTGCCATCAGTTCATAAAAAAAATAAAAAAATTATTTAATTGTAGATTTTGATTTTTTTACAGGAGTAAAAATTAATCTAGCGTCTACTTGCATATGTATAACACTGATCATAATAATAAAGAATTTTCAATTTTTTTTTTTTTTTTTGCAGATAGAAAAGATTGTCAACTCTTCGGATGATAACCTTCCTCGCACAATAGCAGATGTCCAGGTGGCTCTACACATGTGTGAAGATACTGTGGACACAGAAAAGAAATTCAATTCTGTGAGTAACGATAACTTCTCATTAGAACCCTTTTTCTGTTCTATGTCATCCACTTGACAAAAATCTTATTGTATAATGTGACAGATCATAAGGATAATGTTTATGAGTCATGAAAATTGGTATTATAGTGACTTAAGTCCTCAGGTCTTAATTTTTTAGAAGATAATGAGAACAAATGATAAATTTGAAACATAATCGGTACCAATTCCTGGGTTGGGAAGAGTAAGAGGGGGCATTATTTATTGTGTTGTGCATTAACTCAGTCTTGTTTGGACCCTTATATGGCTAACCTCTCATGTTTGGATAATATCTTCATATAAAACTGTTGGAGGAAGCATGAAGGTTAGCTGAAGACATGTCATGCTTATTAACTTGTTTAAAGTTCAAGAGAGTCTGTGGTACCCCCAGTGTCAGAGTGATTGTTGTTGATGTTAAAGAGTTTTGGTGTACTGTATATTGAATTTCTCAGAATGTCATATTTCAATAACCCTTCACCCAGACAAATAATTTTATATTTGGATTGCACCTTTTTTTACTGTAGGTCTAATTAGAAAATTTGTTTTCAGGAGGAGCTGCTAGCCAAAAAGAGAGCTGAGCGTAGTGCCAGACTCACTGCGGTGCAACAGGATGTTCAGGAAAAACTGAATCTCTTGCAAGATAGTTACCAAGAGAAGGAACAGTCAATGAGGGCACAGTTTCAACAGCTTGAGAAGAGTGCTGGATATATTTAAGTAACTTAACTGTTTAATACAGTGTGTGCCCATCAACAGTTGCTTCTTCACATGTTTGTTTGGATCAATTACCTCAAATAATTTCCCAACATTTATTTCAGTACATTAGTTTTAAGTTTATGTGTGAGTGAATCACTCTTATATACTAAGTCAACAGTGTTTAGGTATTAATTTGTTGTTTGGAACAATTACCTCATTTTTTACAGTATTTATTTAATTAATTTTAAATACTTTTCTCTGTCATGGATCACATCACTGTTATTCCTTCAAAGCGGTTTGTGGAAATTTTGCAAGAGCTCCAGAATGCATTTGGAGCTCCTGATAGCATAAAACAAAAGCTCAATGAGAAAGAGGACTGTTCAGAAAGGAAAATTAACTTAACCACGCATGAAATAAAATGGTGTCATACAAAAATGAGAGAGCGAGGCATCTCAGAGAGAGTGCACGAATTGTTGTCCGAGAGTGAAATAGTATTGCCAAAATATGAGCCACCGCCAAGGAATCCCGAACTTGAGGCTCGAATTCAGAGGCTCCGATTTGAACAGGAAAACCGCGAGTACAGACATATGACCAGGTCTGTCGATGCTTCTTATGGACAGCAGGCCGCTAACTTTGGAGATATTGGAAAAGAGATGAAAAGCATTAATAAGCAGATGGTTTCGGGGGCACAGTATTTGTTGTCTATTGTTGGTACATTCTTTGCTGTCTTTATAGCGGGTGGTTTGGTGACCTCAGATTATGGGGTGAGAGCCTTGGTAGCAACAGTTTCAGCTGTGGCTGTTGGTTTAGCAGAAATGTTCTTCATCATTAGAGAAGATTTGAGGGAGGAGGACAAATTTGAGAAGAAAAAATAGTGCCAAAAGAGAAGTCAAAATTTTTGTGTACATATAGCATACATATACAGTGTATATAATATATAGCATCATTATCTTATTCAATATTTAACTAAAGAAAAGTAGCACTTGCTGATCTGTAATGTAAGTGGGAAGATGATTTTACTGTATGCTATAACTTTTAGGATTTCCATGGCATGATTGAGTTTCCTAATAAATTTTATTCCTATGATTCTTATGATTATTCAAGTAAATTTTGTGCCAATTGATGTCAGACACAAGTGAAGTAAATCTACCTTAGAATATATGTCTTACTCTACAGCACATGTGTGGCACTGGAGAAGTTATACTGTATTTGAACCTTTTATAAGGATTTGGTTGTTCTATGTCAGTCTGTTAGCATAACTGATTAGTGAAATATTATAGCGGACATGTACCAGTAAAATATACCCACTCAAAATGAAACCCCACTGTATAGAATTTGCTTTACATTAGCTAGTTCTTAGATTTAAATGACTGTAGACCAATTAGATCGACAGATCACTTACTGTTGCATAGAACAATCAGAGAGACAGATCTCCCTTACTTTGTTGCATAGAACAATCAGATGGACAGATCTCCCTTACTTTGTTGCATAGAACAATCAGATGGATAGATCTCCCTACCGTTGTATAGAACAATCAAATGGATACATCACCCTGGTCAGATCATTCTGTAAATTTAGGCAGTCCTACAGTCTAGAGAGTAAGATTATTCACTTGTAATGCATGAAACAAACAAGCCCAGCATAAAAAAAAAGATTGAAAATTGAGATTAATAAATTGATTGATTATAATTACATCCCTGGTGATGCAACAGCTTAGGTCACATGTCGCCAAATTAAACTAAAGGCTTAAAAGACTAAAATCAAATAATCCAAGGTAAAAAACATGAGTAATAAATAAATAAAAAATTGGAGTATGTGTTTACTTTTTGTTTTGGCCTTCTAGCAGTTAGTAGAAGTCTTGCAAAAGTGAAAAAAAAAGAATCAAGCATTGCAGTTACCCAATAAGCTTATTCTTGTATTAAAACAGAACTAGTTATTGTTTGTAACTACCTATAGTACTTTGAACATTGTACTTGTTCATCTCTGATAACCATTGGAAGTGTATTAAGTCTTGTAAAAACCACAGCTCTGCCCCCAGAATTTCAGTAATGTGGATTTTCTTTTTCATGCAATCGTCAGGGAGGATTGGTAAAGACAGTCTTAAAACATTAGGAGTGGAGGGCTAAGGTCACCAACCCTCAGATGGTACTTTAAGTAATACAGTAGTTTTAATGTATACTGTATAATTTAGTTTTCCCAGAAAATTTAATTTCAGTTTGTTTCACACAAATTAAAACAAACCTTCTATGGCATAGTGCTGTACTCTCTTACTTCAATCTGTATTAATCTGTATGCCACTCCAGTGTTGGGAGTCTTTCAATAGAATCTCCTCCAGTTAAAACACAGTATATTTCCAGCCTTGTCCATAGCCACACTCTACAGTACATACATTTACACAGTCATCCATCCTTGCAATATCATACACTCACATCCATTTCCAGATTCATCCAAACCAGCACCCTATATTCTCACACTCAATTCCTCAGTCATTCATTCTAACTCCCATACTCACACAATGTCCAAACTCATCCATAACAACATAAACATTTCTTAAGTTATATTTATCAACAGTCTTAAGTTCATCCATACCAATATACATTCACCTAGGCTTAGAGTCAAAAATATTATTGAGATCACCCATACCAACATACTGTACTCACACATTTCCACAGTCATCTCTCTCAAACACAATTCTGAACCGAACCATACCACCATACAGTGGTCCCTCGGTTAACGAGCACAATCCGTTCTCGAAGGTTGCTCGTTAACCGAAACCATTGTTTCAATGGGTTTTTGGGTAATTGGTTCCAGCTCACTGAAAATTGCCTCAATTCAACAAAAAAGGTAGAAAAGTACACTTACTTTGAGGTGTGTATGTAGAAGGCTCCTGGATGATGATGATGGGAATTAGAATGGGGGTGGAGAAGGGAGAAGAGAAGGCATTGGGGTGGAAGAGAAGTCACCCCATGGCACCATTTTGCCCATAAAATTTTAGTTCTCTTGGTGCAATTCAAGATTATTTTCTTTAAATCAACACTGCACTGCATTATATATTGTCAATATGTAAAATAAATTTCAAAATGACCAATAATTTGCTTGCAAAAACAGAAAAAAAGCATTTAGTTGAAGAGAGTCTCAAGCAAGATGTTACCTCCACTGAAAAGATACAAAGACTGACGCCTGTCTGGTGTGTTGAGAGGCTGGATGGCACGCATAAAACTAGTTTCATTACCTTCAATTATGTTCAATAATTGTTAAAATGAGTAAAAAATTTAATATTAAACTTTTAAAATTATTGAATAGTATAAACTTCTTGATATTTGCTAAAATGGTAAGGAATTTAAGCCCTAGAGCCGATTACTGTATTGGCGGACTAATACTACAGCTGGTGGACCGCCAAATGCAAGCGAAATCATGTTCAGGTTGGCTCGTAAGAAACTCGTTAATCGAGGGATTGCTCGTTAACCGAAGTTAAGAATCTTATGGAAGGTAAATCGTTAACCGAGGGATCACTGTAATCTCATACATTTCCATAGTTGATCATATTAACATCACAGTCTTATACATATTCACTCATGTTGTTCTTACTGACTTATAGATGCCCTCATGCTTATGACCCCTTAATGATTTCAAGTTTATTTGTCAAGTGGGCTTATGCGATGTAAATTTGGTATTTTTAAATTTTATTTCATGATTCCGAGATGATAGGTAACTCGTGAACTTTTCAGAAGAGTTCCATTGACAAGATGTAAACGATGGGTTAAAAGTTAGTATTTTCATTATGATGATATGTTAAATTACTGATTGTTTATGTAGTGAGAAAGAATCTTTATCGTGGTGGGAGTATTTTTTATGGCCTTTGTATTATTTCTTAAGAGTTTTGTAAGGCTGTCCAATTTTTTTAATTACATTGCAAAATCCATTTTTTTTTCATGGTGCCAAATAGACTACTGTACTATAATTTCAAATTACTGTACAGTACAGTATATTGTACATGAGAAAATGTTTTTTTTTAAATACAGTATCAACTTTGCTTCTGAATATAGTGAGACAATATGAAACATTCCATTTACTGTTTTGATAAGAATTTGGAATTGTGTTGCTCTTTCCATATACAGGATTAAATTGCAATCCTTTCATGGTTAATACATAAATCATATGTATGAGTATATACAGTTTATATCAGGAAACTAGAGTACTGTACTACAATACCTGTTTCCCCTACTATATTCATGAGTGGATTTGAATGCTTTAATTACTAGATATGCTTTAGACCTCCAGACACACACAAGTTGAGGCACAAAGTCATGCATTCTTTCACTCACTGTGAAGGTTGTACAGTTATTAGTCAAGAGTGAAACAGAAGATGGATGTAATGACTTGAGTGATGAACTGTAGGATATGTTGAAATACTGTATTGTACTCAATTGTGTAACCTATCAACACCCTATTTTACCATTTACTGTATTTAATGTTCACATATTAAAGGTTATAATGGCAGCAAGGAGCAACATAGCAATACCCAAATTTTTCAAAAAAAGTCTTTTGATCCATCAGTTTTATGTTAGTAGGTTACAGTAAATGTTGAAGTGGATGCCATAGCAGAGCACAGTGGTTTTATCACCCAAGGTGTGTTAGTATCTGAGAGTTTTCCTTCAAAAATTTTACCAAGATTATTTACACTGGGAGAAAATCCACAAATGAGCAGGTCTCCATTGTTGCCTGAGACAAAAATTTCTCATAGTGGTGACATGCACTGGACCATCAACTGTGTATTCTTGCTCTCTTAATCTGGGTTAGTATTTTGGAACTTCCTGAGGATGTTGCCAGCTGACAGAGAGAATATAACTTGACTTATTGAATATTATGTTACCATGGCTGTGTATCTTTCACTTTTTATAACTTCTCTTCCCAGTCACTCGGCCAACATCTTCAATGCGCAGCTCTTCTTTTCACTGTCCCTGTACTCATCCTTAGATTTATCCCACAGTTCTGTGAAAGTTTCATATTCTTCTATAATCATCTTTGTATTCTCTTTGGTCCATCCTCTGATGAAAAAATCTGTGCACACATTTCACTTTGATAGAACTCATTCTTAATCCTTAGAGATATCTCAGGACAGTTTGCAACTCTCAGAATCAGTTATACCTGCAAGTTTGCTCTTTAGAATCAAGGCTTGGAAAAACTCCTGAGATGTAAACACATTTGTGGAGGAGATTAATTAAAAGTTTGTGTTGCTCTTGATTATAACCATCCTGCAGTGTAGTGGGAGAAGGCTTGCAACAATAAAAAACTGCTATAGTCCTGTTCATTATTAATCCTAGTGAAAGAGGTTTTGTCTTTAGTACAGTTGATGTTCAGTATGTTCATGTTTCTTATATGCATACATAATATACAGTGAAGTGTACTATAATTGTTTCTTGTTGACCCGTGAACACCAGTATTTATACCATCTCTACAGGCATCAGTAAATGGTAAATAAGCAGTGTGTTCCTCTCCACTTTATGGTAAAGGTTGAAAACACTCTGGCATCCAGAATTGCACAATGATAACAATATTGTAAATACAAAGGTGCCAACACGGCCACACTCTATGACCAGTGATGATACTCCTAATATTGTGCTGCTTGACTTATACAACTCAATCTGAAGTTTGTTCCCATTGCAGCTTTACAACACCCAACTACATTATCCAGGTATGGTGTTTAATATTTATAATTACAGGGCGTCCTCGCTTAACGTCGGGGTTATGTTCCTGAAAATGTGACGTTATGCAAAACAACGTTAAGCGGATAAATTTCCCCCATAAGAAATAGATAAAATACGGGAGTTACGTTCCCCATCCTCCCTTTGCCCCATGTAAAACATTACATATACAGAAAATCATTGCCATTTCTATAGAAAATAGTATATAGAACTACAGTACTAAGTTTGTATTGGTACTCACCGATGGGTGGAGGTGGTAGAGCGAGTGTGTGGTGGGTAGTGGAGCGAAGGAGGAGGATGGCGGGAGCAGAGGAGGAGGAGGGTGGTGTTTCACTGAGACTCTGCTGCTGCCTCCTCCTCCTCCTCCTGCTCTGACTGGGGTTCCTCCGCCGCTGCTTGCTCCTCCTCCATTGTTGTTTGCTCCTCCTCAGCTGCCAGCTGCTGTGAAGAACCTGCTTCTGCCGTCCCGCCACGAAAAAATGAATCCAGTGTTGACTGCATGGTGCTACGGGTACTCATCTTCTTCTCCTTATAGATCTCGGTGTAACAATCAAGACTGCCCTCAATGCTGCATTGAACCTTTGAGCTACATTCTCTGTTTGGGTCGTCATCTAGAAGGATTTGCATTGCTTACTGGAACATGTTCAACAATTCAGCCATCCTCTTGGAAGTTAGCGTTCATTGAGGTTCTTCGTAGTCGTCGTCGTCTTCAACGGGTCTGTGCTCTGTTAATTGTTGCAGATCTTCATTGGTGAGCTCTTCTGTATGGGATGCCAGGACGTTCTCAATATCCTCTGATTCCAGCTCATCAAAGCCTGCCTGTCTAGCCAAGCTGAGGATATCCCTATTCACAACTGAGACTAAGTCCGTGAATCCCATAAAACTGTTGACGCACTCGGGCCACAGTTTATGCCACACACCATTCAGGCAACTTTCTGAAACCTCTTCCCATGCCTTGCCAATGTTGTCAATTGCATGAAGAATGAAGCTGCGCCAATATTCTCGGATCGTTGGTTTATTTTCTCCGTCTGTAGCCTTGAGCAGCTGGGCCATGGTACGGCGTAAATGATACGCCCTGAATGCGGCGATGACGCCTTGGTCCATAG